GTCTCTGAGGTGGACGTTTTACTGTCAGAACCAGAACCAGAACCAGAGAGCAGAGCTGGATTCTTCAGATGTTCATGTGACATCACACTGGATCCAAACACAGCAAATAAAAACCTGTTACTGTCAGAGGAGAACAGAAAAGTTGAATTTATGATTCATCCTCAGTTTTATTCTGATCATCCAGACAGATTCATTAATTATTTTCAGGTTCTGAGCAGAGAGAGTCTGACTGGTCGTTGTTACTGGGAGGTGGAGTGGAGAGGAGGAGCATCTGTAGCAGTCTCATACAAGAATATCAGCAGAACAGGAAGTCAGTCTTTATTTGGATTTAATGACAAATCGTGGTGTTTACGTTGTTTTAAAGACAGTTTTGTATTTTGGCACAACAACATTAAAACCTCCATCTCAGGTCCTGGTTCCTCCAGGATCGGAGTGTACCTGGACCACAGAGCAGGTCTTCTGTCCTTCTACAGAGTCTCTGAGACCAGGACTCTCCTCCACAGAGTCCAGACCACCTTCACTCAACCGCTCTACGCTGGACTTATGTTTGATACATGGTGGGGGCGTTCCAGTGCTGAATTCTGTAAACTAGACAAAGATCACTGAAGGTTTGAGATTAGTTTTATTTTTGTAATCCTTGTTTGTTTGTTTTTGTTGTTTGTTTGTGCTCAGAGGATGGTCAGTACTTTTCATTTATTTATTTTCTTCTTCTGAATTTTCTTTACTAATGGTTGGGGGTGTCTTAATTTGACTCTTTTCACAGCAAAGCTTGTAAAATTAATTTAATGAGAAATTGTAAATGATGCCAACTGAACTTGTTGTTTAAAGACATTTAGTTGAGTCCTGACTCTCGTCTGATTGTTTCAATGATTTTTTTTTGTGGATAATCAGAATAAAGTTTGTTGGTGGTTCAAAGTTTGAGTCTAGATTAAAAATTATTTCAGTTGTGCTATGAATACACCCAGTGTTTGTCAGTTTTTTTTTTTTAACTCAATTTTACATTTTCAAACTCTACTTCCATCACTAATCTAATGTGAATCTTGTGAGCTGAATTCCTGCTAACAGGAAGAGGTTTATCTCCTCGTCAGTTCCATGATAAAGCTTCACACCGTCACTTCATGGACAGTTTGTAAAACTCTTCAGAGCTCAGAAAATGACCCTTAAACTTGGCAAGGGTCTTAAGTAGTGATGAAAACTGATCAAAGTTCAAAAAAAGTAGTTTTGGAGTTTATTTTCCAACAGCCTGCTTTCCACACTACAGTATAGAGACATGTCAAATCTTGTGCTGGAGTCTTTTATCTAAAAAAGAGAAATAGTCATTTGTGAAATTATCTACAAATTTCATCTCGTGGGGGGAGGACTGAAAAGTGCAATGTCCTCCATAATGTGTGTGTGAAAACAGCTCCCCAACATCCAGCGCCTTCAAGATCTTGGGGTGAAGCCCGGTCACCGAGGAGCTTTTTAACCCAAACAGCCTCTGCCACGGGTGGACATGAGACAAATGTCTCCTGTATGAAACGTAAAAATTCAAAGTCGCATTGAATTACAGTCCAGTCAAAAATATTGAAACAAACGGTTTATTTTGTTCACAAGCAGATTCTCGTCTCGGTACACAGCTCTAACCCACAGGTTTTTTTTTCTTCTTCCAAGAATGGAGATGTTTTTGTTCCAACAGGACCAGAACGCTCCGTTTACACGAAGCGGCCACAGTTCGACGAGATTTCAGACAGCTGACGCTCAATGATCTGTTTTACTGACAGCGAGGACAAACGAGGCTCAGTGTTAAATGCAGTCGTTGCAATATGGTTTAAAATAAAATATTTAAACATTAATTATAAAGCGATGAGGTGCACTTTAATAAAAGTCAAACTTAATCATGTGGAGTTATAATAAACAGCTGAATGATAAAACCAAACTTTCACATTCTACAGATACAAACTAACGGGTTAACACTTTACTTTTCGACAAGAACTTGCAGTGATTACAGTTTACTGTAGTAATTTTCCACCCGTTAAAGAAAATCCTATTTTTTTTTCTGTCTGAATCTATGAACAGGAGCTGCGGGATAAAAGTGAAGAGAGGAAATGTTCTCATCGGTGTTCTGAAGTGAATGAACGTGTTCTACGTATCTAAAGCTGGATTTACAATCAGTGCTTGTTGGTTAAGTTTTTGCTGTGGAAAACACACAAAGTAAAAGAGCACAATATTACAAGTTTAACTGCTTTGCACCGCCTCACCAGAACAAACGCACTTTGTTCTGATAAAACTCTTTCAATCCTCCCTGTTTCGTCAAACGCACTTTTGGTCGAGTGGTTCAGAGGCAGCAGGAAGGTGAAACAGGTGAAGGTGCAACACTCCTCAGAGATCTGACGGGTTTTGAATAGAACAGACGAGACGCTGACAGAATCCTCACGACACCTCAACACCAACGAGCAAAGTTTTTACAATCGTCAAGTACGGACACAACAGCAGGATTCACATCAGAGGAGTTCCTCTGTCTGACAACACTCAGCTTCCTTTAATAAAATATACCAGCTGATTTTAAATTATTCTACACGGCTACACAAACTGCTGTAACCTGATGGTTACGTTTTTACAACAAACCCTCTGCGTCCTCACACCATCACAAACGTCTAAATTATTATTTATGTGCTTTAAGGGTCACTTAAACGTGAGGTAAATTATCTGGAAATTGGTGAACGTTTGACAAAATAAACAAAAAACAATGAAATGAAGAGACGGGCAAGGAAGTACAGTTGAATTAAAAAGGGAGAAACAATGTAACAGCTAATGGTTCTTTAAAAACAACAAAAAACACAAAGTGCATAAGCATCATTGATGAAACGTGACCATCTGCAATCAATGATGAGAAAATTGGCTGAAGAAGAAGAGAACTTGTATAAATAGGAGCAAACTCGGCATCACTGATGCTGAATCTAACAGTGAGCACAGCTGAGGGAGGATCGACTTTTTGACATCTGGGACTTAAAATAAACGTTAGCACAGATTAACTTGTGAAATGTACAAAAACAGAAATACCTTTGTTTTGTGCAAACATGTGACCTGCTGTAAAGCAGCATCAACCTGCAGCACAGTGTCTCTTCTGCCTAAACACATCCTGCATCAGCTCCCAACGTGGAAAGCTTAGTCTGTGCTTTTTCCAGCGACTTAAATGAAATACTGTTCTTTTGGACAGTGATGACTTCCATGGTAAAGAAAAAGCATGTTAGGTGATTCATGTGAAACAATGACCCCTGCAGGATCAGAAGACTCACCCTGAAAGCCAAAACCCAAACTAAACATCCTACATCTGCCCTTCAAACCCACGACCAGGTGTTGGACTGAAACGCAGACGTAGGCTGACAGGTGGAGGTGAGACGAGGTCACTTCTCCTGCAGCAGAGCCGGGATGTTGATGTTCCAGCCGATGGCCTGCCGGTCGAAGCCGCAGGTGAACAGGTTGCAGGTGGTGTTGTCTTCACACCAGGCGGAGCAGCAAACCATGCGGCGATGACCCTGAGCAACAAAAACACACCAGCTGTTAGACTCTGACCGTACACGTTTAGAGCTTTGATCCAACAAAAGATGTCTGAGTCAGAAAACAAAAGAGTTTATGACTGAAGTCCTGAAGCTGCAGTTTGTTTGTTAATATTTAAATAAAGAAAAACATCAGAAGTTGAGTTTCTGCCTGAGCTGTGATGAGCAAAACGTCAAAAGAGAAAACAAGAAACTTAAAATGTACAGTACATGGTAGAGTTGCATTCGGGCCTCAAAAATCCGACCTGACCCGACAATTAACTGTAATTACAGGCCCGAATCCAAAAAAAAAAATTATTTTAATTAAGCTTTTACTGCTTTTATAAGCAAATCAGTTTGATATGATTTAAAAATGTATTTCAAAGAGAGCAGGATATAAGATTTATTGTTTATTAAGTCACCAAATGGACATTAACATAATGAATGGCCTAAAAAATCAACTCTAAAGATCGGCTATTACACAGATGAACAAAAATATTTTTACAGCAAAATTATTTGGAAAAATATAGAGCAAGTCTATTTTAATTGAATGTGCTGCTCGCTTCAGCTTAAGTAGATGCTGCTACTTCCTTCACCACAGATGCCACAGGTGCGGAGACGCGCGCGACCAGTGATCAGCTGATCCATCTGAAGCTTAACCAAACTTTTTTTTTTTTTACTTCTTTCGACCAGCCGGTCAGCGGACGCGCGCGGCTGATGATCTCGTTGTCCATCTAAGTTTAACAGGACTTTATTTTACCTCTTTCAACCGGCCAGTTGGACCGGCCTTCTCCTCAACAATTAGATTATATTGTGCATTCTTATTTAGTTTTCTTTGTGCTGTATGATTCATAAAACCGTATCAAAAGCCCGAGACTGACCCGGCCCACCCATCAAGCACTTTATTTTGGCCCAACCTGGCACAAATTTTGTGACAGGTCCGGCCTGGGGCTCGGGTTAGAAATGGCATCTCTAGTATACGGTAAATTTCTAAACCAAAAAAACTAAATAAAAAAAGGTTAAATGCAGACATTTTGAAAATCAATCAAAACATGTTTAAAGTAGCTTTTTTTTTTAAAACTACTCAAAAACTATTTTCAACAGGTTTGTATTAACATGCAGTATCTTCCAAACACTTGTAGAACTTGGAACCACCCTCATGTTTTTATTTCGATCATTTATTCATCATGTTTGTTTCATTCGACGATGAATCTCTGGCTGACCTGTCTGTTGCTCCGTGGGAGTCGAGCCAGTCGCACCCCGGACATGTCGAACAGCCGGACCTGCCGATTGTCGTGAGGAAGAGCGATGATCTTCTGGTTCACCGACACGCTGATCCTGAACAGAATGACAAAACGGCACAAATATAAAAAGAGAAAACAGTTCATTCAGTTATTTGTTCCAGCAGAAGACCGGAACCACATTTAAAGAGCAGATGCAGATTTACATATTTTAAATGCTGACTTTGATAAAAACTAAAAAAAAAAGCAAAACGATGACACCAATTAAAAACTTTTAGCAGATTTTAGTTTTTGTTATTTGATAAAATAAGGTTACTGCTAAGAAACAAAAACTACTCTCTGGTTAGCGACATGTTCTCCATAGAAACAGCTGATGGTTGCTGACTGTTTGCAGCTGATGGTTGCTGACTGTTTGCAGCTGATGGTTGCTGACTGTTTGCAGCTGACGGTTGCTGACTGTTTGCAGCTGACGGTTGCTGACTGTTTGCAGGTTTTCTGACCTGTTGACGGCGGAGTCGGTCCGGATGGTTGCTATGGGCGACCGCATGTTCTTCAGGTCCCACACTTTGACGGTTCGATCGTCGCTGCCAGACACCACATTGTCTCCCACGGTGAAAACGGCCGACGTCACCGTGCTGAAAAGGAAAACAAGTTTGTTCACATAGATCTCTGAAAATCAGGGAAAACAACAAACTAACCTGTTTACATGATCAGCATGTTTGACGGTACTTATTTTTAACTTCAATACCTAGAAACATTTCATAGACTGCTGTTAAAGAATAACTTCAGTTTGATTGATTTTTCAAAGATGCATTTGCTCTTTTAAACAAATAGCTTTATGTTCCTTCACTGATTTGTACTTAAACAAAACTCCATGTTTGTGTTTTTTAATTAAACACTGTAAGTAGGCCTGTCTCGATAAACAATAAATCAATTAATCGCATGATAAATGAAAATTATCGATCTCGTTTTCATTTATTGGCTCTATCGTTTCTTCGTGTCTCTTTCTACTGAAGACACTGGAAGACAAAAAGCTCAACTCTGGTGTTCTTCACTGACCCCTCCCTTTCTCTTTAAAATCCATTTTAACCGTCCAAAATCGCATTTTTGGATCGTTAATCCCCCGGGCGCTTTCAATAGCTGCCCACTGCACCACCTGGTGGTGGATGGGTTAAATGCAGAGACTAATTTCGCCATTGTATGGAAACATACAGTGCTGACATTGTGATGACATTATTATTATTATTATTATTAAATGTAGCTAAGCTAAGAAGATAAGCTACGAGCTAAGCTAACAGGCCGACCTCAGAAAAAAGCCTGCGTCTTGTCGAAGCTCCAAAATTCACGGTTGAAACCCGTGCCTTCATGTAAAAAGTTGTTTTTCTCTGCAAAAAGAAGCTGAGAACTTATTTACTGATTTTTTTATTAAAAGCTTTGTGTGAAAAATGTTATGCTAAAGAGCTCAAACCACATCGAGCGGCTGCCATTTGGAGAACCTCCCATTTTTCTTAAAGAGACACGCTGCTCGCTCCCTCACTATCCATCCTTGGGTTCAAACAGTCTTATACTGCCATCCAGTGGTCAAAAAGATACTACTCACAAAAATTAACCAACATTTCTTCTTAAATTTGACAATAATTACTAATTATTGTCAAATTTCAAACAATATCGTTTATCGCAAAAATTTCTGAGACGATTAATCGCTCAGCAAAATTTGTTATTGTGACAGGTCTAACTGTAAACGTGGTTTACGGAGTGAAAGAAGTTGATGAGTTAGGCTTGATTTCTTTCCCTTTTTGTCTCCATCTCTTCTTTTCTCTCTTTGTATTTTGTAGTTTGAATTAAAAACGTGGTCAAAACAATTCCCCACATTATCAGACACGTGTACAAGAAGTTGTTTTCACACGGCGGCGCTGTTGGCTCAGCATTTAACATCCACAACAAAGGCATCTTACAGAAGACTTGAAATATAATTTGTATAATAACACAAACTCTAACTGAAGGCTTTAGAAACGACTGAGTCGCTCACTCAGTGTGCCCCTGGAACACGTTGACGGAGTGAATGGACGGGTCTCTGAAGTCCCACAGTCTGAAGGTGGTGTCTCTGGACGAGGTGACCACCAGACGCTGGTTGGGGTGTGTGCAGCAGTGGGTCAGCTCCTGATCGTGGCCTAAACAAACACACAGTCTTTGGCGTTTTAGTCTCTGTTTGTCTTCAGTCAAATTATCTGACAACAGAAGGAGAAACTCCAGGAGGAATTCAGTTTTACACTGAACAGGGTGAGGATGTAACGTTACCGGTGAGGGAATGGACCAGCTCCGACGTCTCCACGTCGTATAAATTGGCAGCTCGGTCCCAGGAGGCCGTCACGACCTGCTTGCCCCCCACCAGCCAGTCAGCGGCGATCACCACGCCCTGATGGCTGCGGAGCGTCGTGGTCGCCACGCGAACGGAGGGGCAATCTATCGGGCCCTCCGCATCGCCGTCGGCGTCATCTTTGTCTGAGGAGTCCACGTCGTCTTCGCAGGGTGTCTGCTGCAGGGGGGAGGGGGGACAGGTCTGTGAATTCAGTGACAGAAACAGTGGAAACAGAGGCGCTGCTCAGGCTTACACTGATGTCAGCGACAGGCTGGGGGGTCGGCAGCTGCACCATGTATTTCCAGATGTGAGCCGTCTGATCTCCGGAAGCTGAAGGGGAGGAAACGGATTTAATGGCAGCCAGACTGAAAATATCACATAAAATAGATTAAAATGGCTTTTAGAGGGTTTTTACTCTCCTTCACGTGTGTCCATGTGTAAAACATGCACGTATTTTAGTCTTAATTTGAACACAAAAACGATCAACGTTTTGTTCTGATGCATTTATAGCTGCAAGCTTAAGGTTTTATTTCCACACAACTTCTCATCAAGCTGCATTCACTGTGCGTCAGGAGTGAGAAGGTTTTATGTTTTGGGTTTTATTCAGCACAAAAGAAAAATAAATTTTATTCTCAGCACTTCACTACAACAAAAAGGTGCTAAAAGCTCTCCAACAGATTTAAACTTCAGTTGTGTGAAAACAGAAATCGATTACGTTGTGCAGAGCTTCACCAACCAGTTCGCTGCATGACCTTTGATTAGGACTCAAATATGGATCAGGACCAAGTGTCGGTGTCAACGTGTAGAAAAAAGAAAGTATTTGAAAATATGAACGCTTGTCACAAGGTTTTCCATCAGGATTTATTTTTATATACAAGCAGGAAGCTGTTGGAGATTTTAACTCCACCCTCGAACTACAAGCTGAGAAGACGTGGCTGCACCAGAAGCTGCTTCACTTTGTTTTGATGAACGCGTCGCAGAATCTCCAAACAAACTTCTGATCAGCGTGAAAAGAATAAGTCTTTTTTAAAGAAGTTACCTGTTAGAGCTATCTGCTCAGTGGGGTGGAACTTTATGGAGTTGACTGCAGAGAAACACAAAGATGTTTTACGTTTAAACCACGCCAAACGTCACCGAGACACACTAGTAATGTGTTTTTTGGACTATAAGGTGCACTTAAAATCCTTTAATTTTCTCAAAAATCGACAGTGAGCCTTATAATCAGGTGCACCTTACGTATTAACTTAAAATCTGTTTTGTTTCGCTTAATACGCCTTATAATCCGGTGCGCCTTATCGTCCGAAAAACACGGTACTTTAAATTATTATTTTTTTAATCTATGTTTGACAAACTTGAACACGTATAAACGCTCTGAATATTTCTAAATACCTGATCCTTGATGGCCCAGATACTTGAGGAGGCACTTTCCTGTCTCAATGCTCCACAGCATCGCAGTGTGGTCTAATAAGAGATCAATGCAGAGACCAACCGGAACGCGTTAGCACAGAAACAAACAAACAACAAAAGCAAAAAAACGTTAAAATGTACGGATAATGAATCGGAGGAAAAAAAACACATATCTAAGGAAAAAGTAGAAACTTGCCTGCGGAGGCTGTACCGAGAACCACAGGTTGGGTTCTGGTGACGCCAAGGTCCCAGATGCCGTCCCGGTGGCCGGCGTATTCTTTGACCAGCTGGCAAACGGCTCTGGTTGTGGTCGCTTTGAAACTGGAGACAATCTGACACCGACAGCACACCGATGTTAACCCGGAACAGTGAAACATCGCAGGCGTTTCAGCAAAAAGGGTTCCTACACAACATTCCTCCAAATGGAATCCTTCATATTTGTGCTCTTCTCAAAAAGTTTTTATATTTAGGGCTTTTTTTGTCTCCTTTTTGGGTCAAGCTGTTGATTTTTTTTTTAAATTAACCCCCAAAACAATATTATTTTCACTAATAATTATAAATGTTTGAACAGCCTTTCTTTCAGAACATTTTCTTTGCTCCATGATTGCATTCAACTCTGCAGTGATTCCATTTTGTTTTACCAGAACCGTGTAGGAACCCTGATCTAAACAAGGGAGGAGGCGGGTCGGCAGAACTGAGGATCGCTGCTCAGCGGGGTTCTTGTAGTATGCCGGAGCAAATAAATAAATAAATAAAAAGTTTCTATTAAAATCAATATTAGTCTCTGAAGAGGTTTTATGAAAATAAATTTAATAAATCACCAGTGGGATGTTACAAACTTTTCCGATTTGAAAACATCATAAAGTAAAAGAAAGCTAAACTGATCTGCAACAAAAAAAAAAAAAAAAAAGAAACAATGGTAGCACTTTAGTTATTTTATATCAGTGTAACAGATTAAATGTAGTGAAGGTCATGGTTGGGACGAGAAGCGAGTCAGTTGCATCAAGTTTTGTTGGAGGCGTTTACATTAAAGATGGGAATGATACAAACAGGAGTCCGGGTTCGTTTCGGAAACAAACCACTAAAAACGTTCCAACTGAAAGGAAGAGGGAGAAAGGCATCATTCCTCTGAGGAGGGACAGAAGGTTCACAATCAAAAATAAAACAATAAAAAAACTACTCGAGCACTTTGACAAAATAAGAATATAGTTTCTAAGCTGTCAAATAGTCGCTGATGGTTAATATGAGACTTCAGGGACATTTCAACTAAACAGATGAGGATTTTTATATTTAATGTAAATGAAGTTCCATGTAGGCCTGTCACGATAACACATTTTGCTGGGCGATTAATCGTCTCAGAAATTATTGCGATAAACAATAATATTGTTTGAAATTTGACAATAATTAGTAATTACTGTCAAATTTAAGAAGAAATGTTGGTTAATGTTTGTGTGTAGCACCTTTTTTTGACCACTGGATGGCAGTATAAGACCGTTTGAACAGAAAGATGGATAGTGAGGGAGTGAGCAGCGTGTCTCTAAGAAAAATGGGAGGGAGGCCCCTTGACGTGACATGGGCTGGGTCTCCTTTCTGTTTTCGGTTCTCAAAATGGCGGACGCTCAGTGTGGTTTGATCTCTTTAGCATAGCATTTTTCACACAAAGCTTTTAATTAAAAAAAAATAGTAAACAAGTTCTCAGCTTCGTTTTGCAGAGAAAAACAACTTTTTAGACGAAGGCACGGGTTTCAACCGTGAATTACGGAGCTTCGATAAGACGAAGGCTTCTTCCCGAGGGCGGCCTGTTAGCTTAGCTCGTAGCTTAGCTTCTCAGCATATCCGTTTTTTAACGATCCAAAAACACGATTTTGGACGGTTAAAATGGATTTTAAAGAGAAAGGGAGGGGTCAGTGAAGAGCACCGGAGTTGAGTTTTTTGTCATCCAGTGTCTTCAGTAGAAAGAGAGACACGAAGAAACGATAAAGACGATAAATGAAAATGAGATCGCTCGTTTTCATTTATCGTGCGATTAATTGATTTATTGTTTATCACGACAGGCCTAGTTCCATGACTTTTTGTTTTTTACTAAATAAACAAGAATCCTGGCCAAAAACTGGATTGATTGCCCAGACTTTATTTAAATCAATTCACTTTAGTTGATTTACAAAAGGCCAATTCACAACAAGTCATCCCACGGCACGGTACAAAAACATTCGCCTACATTACAAAACACCAGTTAGTAAAAGTTATCGGTCTCAGGAAGCCAGTAGATCGTGTTTAATCGTCACTTCACCAGAAGGTTTAGGTTTCAGCGCTGCAGAAAAAGCTTGAAGTTTCTTTCTGAGGCGTGAGTCTAACGCACCCAGCAGTTTAAATGGCTGCAGTGTGCAGTCTGCCACGGCCGCAGACAGGTTTAGCTCATTTTAGATTTAAAAACTACAATCAGACTTGTCTAAAAAATCTAATCCTCAAAGCTCTGATCTCAGCATCAGAGACCAAAAACTACCTGAATCCACAAAAGAACTGCAATCCCCACACCAGGATGGCTTACAAAAACCCTCTCCTTCCTTGAAGACATGTTTGTTTTAAACTCAAACAGGTGTATGAGTTTCAGGCTCATAAACTCAGACACAGGATGGATGAGAGCTCTGTTTAACAGGTGTATGACATCTTAAATAAATGAACAAAACTGAATAGTTGCAAAACTGTTTTTATCCCAAGATCATGATGCTTTAAATAAAACAAACCAAAAAAAAAAAAGGTGCTAGCTGTTTATCACAAGCTGAGCTCAGAGCTCTGCAGAAATTTGCATCATTACAGATTTGTGAAATGTGAAGGTCATTTTCAAAAAACAGAGTTGAAAGTGAAAATAAATAGGAGCTCATATTATATGCATCATAACTTAGGTTACTGAAGCAGGTATTGAAATCTAATAAAATATTTTAGTATCGTTGACAAACCTAAAAAAAAAGAAAACCCCTAAAAATGCTAAAGCTGACCTGTCTGAGTGTTTTTCTGCAGACTGCACACCGGGTCATCGTTAAGCAGTTACCTAAAGCAGCCACTAAATGCTCCTCGTCATCAAATATTTGATCGCTCCAGGTGTTAAAAAGCATTTTGTAACATGAGCTGCTTTATGCTAAAGATCTCCACAGTGCACCATTATGTGAATGCCAACAAGAAGCTAAAACAAAGCCAAAGAGGTGCAACTGAAATAAAAAATACTGTTAGTGAGATAATAAAAGTCAAGTTTTATCTCACGCAGAAACTGATAGAAAAGCTCAAACTCCTACATTTGAATGACCAAGTCTCGTGGGGAGGGAGGGTCGACCCCCTGGCTGGGCTGTTCATGCATATTGGCACACAAGGGGGAGAAATGTACAAGTTACCCATGAGTCTCCACCCCACAACTCCCAACTGGTTACGTTGAAGTTGCGGGATCCACCTACTCTGGCGTGGCAAGAATTTGAACGCGGCTACGAGCAAAAAAAAAAAAAAAAAAAAAGACAGTTTCTTTCTTTATCACTCAGAAATCATTTAACAAAGGCTCATCAAACACCTTCTACCTGTCAAGATACAGTTAACCGTTTTGTTGTACTGATTTATTCTGACAACGTCCTACAGTAAAGTCCCTGTAAATAAAAATATATAATAAACTTGTTTAAAGTTTTACCTTAAATAAAACCCAACTTCAATCTAAAAAATATACCATCTTTCTTTAAAACAGTATAAAAAAACAGAAGTTTTACAATAATTACCTTGCTTGTGGACGCCTTGTAGGTAGTTTTTAGTTTTTGAGACAGCTGACTGGTGCTGTGGCTCGCTGTTCATCATCAGGAGACAAATCAACACGTTGTACAGTAGCAGTGGTCAGAGGATTATAAAAACAGGTCACTGTCAATAAATGTCAATAGGTTTAATAGAGAATTACCTTTTGTTTTAAGAGCTCCTTTAGCTAAATCTGCTCCTTCGACTGTCTGTCCTTCTGCAGCCAACCGATCATTCAGCGTGTCGATTTCTCTGCGTACTGAAAGACAAACATGCGTTTTATTTTTAACACCGCGTTACAAAACATCAAGCGAGAAGAGCTTCACTGATCATACTTCTTATGCATGACAGTTATTAATTCAGTAATAAAAAATATGACATTAAACAACCAATGAGTGGCAGAAAAGCAGAAAAATCTTAGTCCCAAACAAAAAGAGCAAAAGAACCGAGTGAAACCTGAACAGTAACTTTGCTTGTTTTACTCTGAGCTTATCCCCGTTTTGTTTTCTAAACCAAATTAAATTTTAAGTTTGATTTCTCCATACTATAGGGACACGTGCGCCAACATCAACAACACAGAGCGTAAAATAAGAGGCTCTAGTTGTGCAGTTTATGGAAAACCTTTAAAGAAAGTGAGCTTTACAAAAATACCTGAAACAGAAAAAATACTGCGCCAAGGAAAAAGTGACAATTATAACCAAGTGAGGTGTTTGGCAGCATTATAAAAGAAACAAAACAAAAGGCTAAAATATTTTTAAAAAATGGAGTCTCTTCTGAACAGTCGATGTGGCAGTGTGCTTCAGATCTGTTCAGCAACACTGAGGACAACAGCAGAGGTGTGTGGTAACTTACGTTCTAAGTTTTCCAAGTATAAGTTTTCAAACTCTCTCTCGATCTGACTGAACAGGTCCAGCAGGTTGCTCCTCAGAGACAGAGGGAGCTTGGAGTCCTGCAAGAAAAGAGAAGAATCTTCAACCATCTGGAAGCATTCGGGTTTAGAATTGAGCAGAAAGTTGTGTGGACAGGATATTCAAAGTTGGAGATTTGTGCGGGGCTAACTTTAATAAGTTGGTGTGTATTAGTATTTTATATGTTCCATATTTTCCTAACAGGGCAATTTGCTTCTCAGACTGCAGGTTTACTTGTGGTTCCTAGAGTTTCTAAAAGAAGAATGGGAGGAAGAGCTTTCAGTTATTTTCCCTTCAGGTGGAACAAACTTCCAGTTTGCCTCGAGGAAGCTGACACCTTGTTTCAGACTCAAGTTCTTCCTTTATAATGAATCCTGTAGTTGGGGTCGGCTTGGGTTTCCTGAGCTATCCCTTAGTTCTGCTGCTATACACTAAGACTTCAGGGGGACAAACCGACCATCCATCCATTATCTTTCGCTTGTTCCGAAGTCGGGTCGCGGGGGCAGCAGCTTGAGCAGGGAGGTCCAGACATCTCTTTCCACAGCCTCTTCCAGCTCTTCTGGGAGGACTCCAAGGCGTTCGTAGGCCAACGTCTCTCAGTTGGCCTGGGTCTTCCCCGGGGTCTCCTCTGAGTCGGAGATGCCCGAAGCACCTCCCTAGGGAGGCATCCAGGGAGCATCCTTACCAGAGTTCATGACCACAGATGAGGGTAGGAACGTAGACCGACCAGTAAACAGAGAGCTTTACCTCACACCTCAAATCCCTCTTCACCTCAACGGACCGGTACAGAGTCCGCAATACTGTAGACGCTGCACCAATCCGTCTGTCAATCTCACGCTCAATTCTTCCTCAACTCGTGAACAAACTGACCACATTTCTTCACTTGTCTGCTGTCATTAACCTGCGTTTTCATTTGTTTCTCTTCCCATAGAAACTACACCTGGACCAATCCATCTGAGTGTGTCTGTCTCTTTCCAGTTGACCCAAACCCCTGTTGAGGCAGAAGGCTGCCTACGTTGAGCCTGGTTCTGGTTCTGCTGGAAGTTTATTCCTGTTAAAAGGGAGTTGTTCCTTTCCACTGCCACCAACCAATGTGCTTCTCAGGATGGGGGATCGCAGCAAAGTGACACTTGGACACAATCGTCTGGCTTCCTTACAATTTACCAATTCACAATTTATAATGTCCTGTATATGAATGTGAGTTAAGAGAAAATGAAAAGGTACAAAAGAGTTGAAGTGGAAGATCCACAGCAGCACAGCTGGAATGTGATTTTCATCCTTGATGTTCGTTTCAAAAATTTAGAAAACTTGAAAAAAAATAATTAAATCAAAGGAGCATACAAACTATAAAGTCAGACTGAAGAAGTCTTTCGGATGAAAGACGAAACGTTTCTAGTTTGTTTGTTTTGTTTTTTGAACGTCCAGAGGACCAGACTTACCTTTTATTTTATTTTTCTACCTGGATAATTGAGCATGCATCAGCAAACAAACTGTACAATGTACTGAATTAATTCAAAAAGAAAAAATCACTAAAAGGAGAGACTGGAGCGCAGTAATGAAACAAACACGAAATAAGCTCCTCGCAGCGTTCATTCATGATGGAAGTGCTCAGAGCGAGGAGCTCGATTAGCTCCTGAGGTGCTGCACTCTGACAGGATACATCTTTTTGAGCTGCAGCTATTTTCCACAGAAAATCGGTCGAGTGCGACCACAGTATTAACGAACTGATGATGGCAGCAGAAAAGTTGGTGCCACAGCACAAATACTCGAGTAACTCTAGAAAAAAAAACTTTTCTTATTTATTTATTCTATAAAACAAAAAACTAATATTAATTTAGACCTATTGAAACAAACCTGATTGGCTCATTAAAAAAATGATGAATTAATTAAGAGACGTTCAAATTTCAAAGAAAATGTTTTTTTGCCTGCAGTCATTTATAATGTCAGACGAAGCCTTTGTGTCACTTCAGTCACAAATATCACAATAACAATTTATTCAAGTTTAGCTTGACTCGCCCATTTTCTCTTCTTGCCCAGACGAGCTTTACATTTCATTTTTAAGATCATTTATACTTTTGATTGACAAAAGCCCAAAGCCGAGTATCACGATCCACAGATTTTTGGAAGCAGGCCTGGATTAAGAAGGACACAAATAATCTAAACACAAAATCTGACTGCACAGGAAATCTGTGAAGTTACTGGAACGTCTAGAAAAATCACATCTTCAAAGGACAACTCAACTGGAGCACCACACAAAACCTGCTGTCGGTACGAACCCAACCCAAACTAAACCAAACGTGCACAACAAACACGAGCTCCAACATCTATCTGGGCTTTTACTCTACTGTCTGAAACACAGAACCTCAGGCACCTAAAACTTACCTCTGTTCTCATGGGGGAGTCCACATTATCAAAGGACTGGAACCAAAACAGACCAGAGTAAAAGAAAAAACAGGTCATGAGGCGGGGACTAGCTTAATTTGTCCAGAACAAACGCAAGTAAGGATTCAGATACAAAAGAGCTTGAACCTCCATTTGCATGATAATAAATTCAGCTTTCACCTGCTGTGAAATCCACAACGATTAACCTTTTATTTTTTTCATTTACAAGTATAAAACTTGAAAACTAGTAAAAACAAATGTATTATAATACTTCCTTTGTCTTCAAAAATAAAAAATGTAACCAGGTGCACAGTTTATGCCTCCAAAAATCATGACTGAAGATTTTTTTTTTGGTCTAAGATTAAAACCATATGTTTTCATTGATTTACAGCAAAAGCACTTGTGTACCGGTAATCAAAATTCCTCAATAACTCTCTATTATGTTCAGTTATTCAAGTGCGCCACTAAATATAGCTAATGCATCAATCTGTAGGTACAATCCGTAGAAGTAGATAAGTTAACCTCTTCTACAAGACCATCAGGTGTCCTCTGACTGGATGCACAGATTCTCAACTAATAGAAACGTCTTCTACTTCGACACAAGTGGGAATCAATGTGATTAAAGCTTCCTCCTTCTTTTTTAATACTATGGTTTTGTTGGGAGACAACAGGCAGTTTGAATTTATCCCACATCCTAATAATGACTCGGGACTTTATTTGCTGGTCAGCGATATTCAAACACTGAGAAAGAGGAACAAACACCAATGAGCCAGTTGATGTGTGTCTAAATCCAATTGTTTTCAGCTAAATTAACAGTACGTGACATTAATAATGCAGTAATTGTGGCGTGATTAAGTCAGCGATAATATAAACCATTGTGAGTCTGCCTAAACGGGTGCATTAAAACCTAATTGGCTTAGGTTTAGTGCAGTCGGCAACAGCAGGACAGCAGGCTAATAATGACTGACAGCAGGGGAGAGCAGCTTGGCATTTAAAGAGAAGCAGCTGGAAATACACGGAAGTGACATGCGTATTCCTTAAAAGGAAACCGGAGTCGCCATCACCTGTCCCTCCAGCAGGTCTCTCTGCAGGCCTGAGCGGTCCTGCTCCGTGCTGTTGGTTCTGCGGATGGACAGACTGTGAGACTTCCTCTTCTGCTTTGCCTGGCGGGCGGCAACGCTGCTCCCACTATCTGGCATGTCTGCGTCCAACCCTGATTCCACCCGTCTGAAAGTAGACAAAAAAGGTTGAACAAAATAAAATAAAAATCCCCGGCATCATGCAAGTTTTTCATTCAGCAAACTAGGGTGTCCGCATGGCAGCGGTTGTATTTGGCAACTTTGCTAGTGTGAATGTGTGAAAATGACAAAATGAATGAGTGTGAAAAAACAGTGTTGCTGAGCGTATTTGCCAGACAAATCCTCAGCGGGTACCATAAGGTGAAGCAAAGGAGATTACAAAAGCTAGAAAGTGACATCATGCAATATTTAAAGTCAATATTTCAGAGTCAGAGTTTCTTTATTGTCATTCGCACCTCATGTGGTACATGTGGTGGAGCGAAATTATGTACACGGGGTCCCAGTTACATCCAACAATAAAATGTATAAGAAAAACAGTAATAACATCTAAGATATGAACTAAGAAAAACATCAACTAAATATACACTAAGCACTCATAACATAAAAACATTGAACATCAGCACAAACATGAACATGAGTCTGTGAGCAGATGTGCACGCATGAACACATCAACATTTAAACAGATCAGCAGCAACATGAAGCAGATCAGCAGCAACATGATGTGATTTTTCACAGTGATTATTCTGGTTAGAGATTCATGAGTCTAACAGCCTCAGGGTAGAAGCTGTTCCTCAGTCTAGTGGTTCTACACTTAATGCTCCTTAACCTCCTTCCTGAGGGGAGTGGGGCAAAAAGTGTGTGTGCTGGGTGGGTGAGGTCCTTCATGATGCAGGTGGCCCTCTTCCTGCATCTGGAGGTGTAGATGTCTGTGATGGTGGGGAGGCTGATTCCGACAGATTTCTGTGCAGCCTTCACCACTCTCTTAGTGGGGAGGAAGCAGATATAGTCAAAAGAAAACATTCAGACTGACATTATTCTGAAAACAATCTCGTGGTGTCTTTTTCTAACAAATTAACCACGTTACCAGGGCAGTGTAGCAAAACCTACAGCTAATGAGGCTGCAAAAGATGATTTCAAACCAATTAACCTGTCGTTTCTATCAACAACTGAGTGCTAAAAGTGGTATAATGTTGTCCAAATGTAATAAGGTCCAATGTGTACACGAATTTAACAATACAAAAACTACATATATACATTTAAATGGATAAAAAGGGCATAAATCCCAAATAAATGAAGTAATCTTAAATGAAAAGAGCTGCAGTCTTTGCAGGTTATGATGCTCTGATGTTATAAAATATATTGCAACAGTCTCACACCATCCTGTGATTCTTTTTGCAAAGAAAAACACAATTTATAACTGAATGATTTCATTTAGTTTTCATCTTGTCAGAACTTTGCTCCTTATATTTTTTAATAAGCTACAGGGTGTGTGAAACATCCTCCACTGTTTGAATGTTTATACTTGTAAACAAGATGGAAAACGTTGACAAACATTAGCAGCTGGATGTATTTGTACACCGATGTGTTTGCCCTTGAGCTGAAAAATGAAGGTCTCCGGCTACTTAAAATAGAAATAAAAATATAGTTTAATTCTAAACCAGCCTGGAAGTCACTGAGGACACTGCAGCCTTTTATCACCCGTTTTGCCTCAGAACCAGCAGAATAATGCACCTTTGTCTGGCTGTCAGACAGTCTGCTACTCAGATCTGTGACTCCAAACACAATTTATCATTAATGTTGCAATTTTATCACCGTGCGTATTCAAAAATAACACAAAAGAGTGACGTTAAACTCACATAAATTGCTCCTGTCGCGTCACCTCCCTCTGCCCGAGCTAAGCTAGCATCACCCGTTAGCTGCTGATGCTAATAGGCTAACAGAAAAAAAAAAAACGGTCATAAAATGGCACTAAACTTACCAGAAAGTCTGTTAATGGTGGGTTTTATTCCGAGGTATTGTCACGAATGTTGGCATTGCTCGCATTTTTCCTTTGTCCGTGTGCTGCGCCGGTTTTGTTTAAAATCCGCACCGACGGCGGACCGTTAAGAGTCCGTGGGAAAAGATAACGAAGCCAATTCCGGTGTTGTGCTGAAAATAGCACCCCGGCTCCATGAAGCCCATCTGACGAAAGTATTTAAAAAAACAAAATAAAAAGCAAAAGATAAGTTTTTGTTTATAGGTACTAAATTTATTTCAGTTTCGTTCAGATTGATTAGTTTAGCTTTGCGATCAAGTTATAACCAATTTTAGTGGGGCATTGCTTACAGAAAGCATCGCTAGTTCCATGTTTAAATACAAAATAATTGCTGAATAACGTGCTGCTATTTAGAGATACCAAAAATACAGAAAACTATCGTCTCTGAATTTTAATCTATCATTAAATAAACGATCAAATTAACGCCGTTAGCATGAAGGGTGCGCTTTCTACGGAAGGGTACATTTTTACGCAAAACACTAGCCCGAAGTTCTTTCTACAATAAAAACTCCAAATTTTCTCTTTAACTTGCATTATTTATACAATAAATAAACAAAATGGGAAAAAAAATACTTATTTTTAAACGACTGAAATTTTAGCTTTAACAGTACACCAGCTAATCAGTTTGAAAAACATAAAAATAACAAAATATGCAGTTTGATATTCCTGGAAATCAATTTCTAAATAATACTATGCATAAAGGAAAACAATGTTGCTGGTCAGAGCAAAGCAAAGAGATTAAAAAAAATCTATTACGGACCCAAACTAAGTTTCTAAGATAAAAGCAATCCATAAAGAAAAATGTATTTAACAACCTGTTATGCGTTTTGTTCAGGTGTCTTTTTTATTTAGCTTCATTACAATTACACAGAAATTATCATCATCACTTCTTCCAAAAAAGGACCAGGATTTCCTGAACCACACCCTCAAGCTGTAAGTCGTAAAAAGTTGTTTTACTGTCAAGAGAAGCTCTTTAACACAGGGTACACAATCAATTTAATATAAACTTTTTTTTTTTTAATCAACCAATTAAACAACTGGATACCAAGTCTTTGATTCTGTATGTCGTAGGGCGGCAAATAAGACAATATATATATATTTTTTCCCCCGTCCGGAGAAAGTCGTTTTATCTGTGATCTGTGGATCCTGACTTCCTCTTTCCAGTCAGGAGGTGTTTGGGTTTGAGGTCGAACACGTGTCGGTCTGATTCTCCTCTTCTGGCTTGGCGGTTCATCTCTTTCTGGGAGTTCTTCATCATCTTCTTTGTCTTTTTCACCATCTGATGTACAAAAATAATAAAAACACAAGAGAGGATCATCCATCCCCTTCTAGTGAAATGCAAATGTTTGTTGGTTTATCAAAAACTCGATATATATATATGTAAACTTTCATATTGGCTGTAGACATAAAGACATCACACACCTTCACATCTCTCAGACCAGACTGGTCTCGAGGCGGACGGGAGGCGCTCTGGCTGCGGGTTTTGGACGCCGGAGGAGCCGAAGCCTCGCGCTTACGCTTCCTCGTGACGCTGCGCGAGCGCCGGGCCTCTTGAGCGTAATGGCTCTGAAATTACAAACAAACATTAAAATTTGACATGCATCTTTAAAAGTTAATGATAAATTAATGGGTATTAAGACAAAAATACAATGAAAACAATTAGAAGTAGTTATAATTTTATAACGTTATACAATACAAACAGCATGTATAAATACTGTTTTGCATGAAGTGACGTTTAACCACAGTGATCATGAAGATCTTACTGATCTAAACGTTGCAGAAAACTGCCCCTTTTACTCACATTGAGAAATTAAAAACATCAGGCCTTAAAGATAATAAATAATCTAAATAAAATATATTAAAACAGCATCAACTGGGACAAGCAGATGAGGTCAGATTGGTTGTAGCTAACTTCAGAACTGCTGTTCTTCCTAAAAAATATGCATAAAAATGAAGATGATCTAAACCATATGTGTCAAACTCAAGGCCCAGGGGCCAAATGTGGCCCTCGTTGCCATCTTATCTGGCCCCCAAGATGTTATTTTAAATGTAAAATACTTTTATCACTTTAATTTTTTTCAGTAATCTTGGATTATGATGTCAAAAGTGCAACAGAGAAAGTCAAATGAGACCAATCGAACTCTTACTGAGGAACCTGCAACCATGAAAATATGTCGGGTATCTAACTTGAGTTTATGTAGATTCTGAAACCGGCCCTTAGTTTGAAAAAAGGTTCTAATTTGGGCCCCCTTTTGTAAGTGAGTTTGACACCCTTGATCTAAACGCTACAACAGAAGAGACTATACGAGCTGATATCTGCAACCAGCAAACAACATACAAGAGGTTTATCATCACAAACACATAAATAATTAGTAATAACTTCTTATTGTTCTTCCATACAATCAATAAATTAACACCCTGAAAGAAGCTTGGCACTGAAAATAAACTAATCGTGTAGAAACTTTTCAGTTACAAATTGGAACAAGTTTAAATAAATTTAAAAATAGAGAATTATCTGCTTTATCGGGACTCTTCAGTTCAAATACGTGTTTTCTTTTAAAAAAGTAATTAGTAAAAATAAAAACTGATCAGATGCCAACCACATTTTTTTAACCCGCCGGATCTCCAAAACCTTTAAACAGTTGGTGCACGCGATGTAAAAACGTAAGGACTTGCATCTTTGTTGTCGTTCATGTCCAGACCGAGGATACTCATCTCCTTCTCCAGCTGCTTTTTCTCAACCTGAACAGAAAAACACAAACAGTTTGGAGTTACATCTCAGAAGACTAACTGAGAGGACACGTGAGCAGACAAACATCTAAAATCACACCAAAATCTGTCGAGAGATTCTAAATGAAACCACCTCTCATTAACATCAGAGAACAAGAAAACTACGAGCGATAATGTTTAGGAGTGGCTTACAACCAAAAGCTACATTTACTGTTTGGTAACGGTTTAAAAAATGTTTAAAACAAAGATAAAAAAACAAAAGTGTCGGCGCACAGGGCTGAAATCACACTCAGAGCGATGAAACTTTCATTAACAGCCAATAAAAATAACATTTTGGGGACAAATAATTTCCTTTACAGTGCTTAAAGACGATCATCTCCAAGCTGGGAGTCAAACTGATCGTCCAGTTTAATCAGTTTTCAGTCCTTCTCAAGAAAGAAAAAAGAAGCTAAGCAACATTTAAAGTTGTGTTTTCTGACGAGCTTTGTTCGTGAGACGATGCAGAAAAACTTGTCTTGGATTATTCAATTCAATTCAAAAATACTTTATTAATCCCAAAGGGAAATTATTTTGTTGTTGTAACTCGTTATCCTCATTTCATTAAGAGATGTTATAGATGCTGATGCTGTAGGCAGGAAGGATCTCTTGTAAAGGTCCATCCCACAGTGGATCCTAAGAAACTGGCTGCAGATGCCGTCCGATCCGCCCACCCAGACTCAGCTGACCTCTCAGTTCCCCTCGGACTGTAGGACCGCCTGAATGCTGGGCAGAACTCCTCCCAGAGCGATGGCCACTCCTCCCAGCAGTCTGCCGAGCTCCTCGGCGCTGCGGACAGCCAACTGTAGGTGCCGAGGGACGATCCTGTCCTTCCGCTGTCATGACCCGTGTTTCCTGCTAGTTCCAGGATCTCAGTGTTCAGGCACTCGAGCACAGCCGGCAGGTAGATGAGAATGCGTCCACAGAACATCCTTTTCAACTCATTTGAGAGTTGGGGCCATAGTTGAGATATTATTTGAGCTTTTGAGATGTTAATCAGCTGCTGTTGTTGTAGAAAACTGCCTTGTTGCCATGGTTACGCATCATAACAAATGTCCAAAACCAACAAAGTTTCAGTAAAAATCCTTCCAGCTGCTCAGCATTCGATACCAGAGGAAACAGACATCCAAAAAAAGTGATTTACATCCAGAAAAAGAGGAATTAAAGTTTCCAAAAGCAAAATGTCAGAATGAAAGTAACAGAGCTGCTCCAACATGCAGCCACCTTGAGCGGCGCAATTCTAGAACTAGAATGACGCGCAACTAAAATTATATTGAGGCTCAAAATAAAACAGAGCGGTCCAAACATCTGCGATGATCTTTGTCGGTTTTGGACTATTTGTTGATTTGTTTTAAAAATGATTACAACAAAGAAGGAATTTAAAAAATAATCATTATGTAAATAAATAAATAAAAGGAGCAGAATATGCGTGCTGCTCTGCACCCATTTTAAAGATGACCCTCGCAGGTAAACATCAAGCCCCGCCCCCCTCACCTTGGTGGCGGTTCTGGGCATGCGCGGCCCGTGAATATCCTTCTCTCTGGACTCGGCGACCATGAGCTGCCTCTTCTCTTTGATCTGTTTAGCGAGGGAGCGGATCTCCTGCATCTCATCGTCCTCGCTCTCGTCAGAGTCGTACTCCCCGGCTCGCTCCTTCAGCTCCTCCTCCTTCTCAAGATCCTCCAGTTTCTGCCACGGAGGAGAGACGCACGATAAATTACATTTAACTGCGGGATTAAATCAAGTCACACAGGGTTTTTTATACTGGATAAGCTTTCTGATTTCCCTGGAGACACATGGACACAACAGCAGACCTGACTCAACACATCATCAATTACTTGTAGATAATCTCGAACGTTGGCCCCAAGAAATAATTAACGCTTTAACAGGCTGGGGGCCATAAATCAGATTTTCTAGCTTCAGTTAACCAACAGGGAGTCTAAACTTTCATTTTAGCTCATAGCTATGCACAGAAAAAATATATTCAAGCTAAATTGCACTTGACACAACAGACTGTTTCAACACCCATAAAACAAATATTTTGTTAAACGTTTTATAAGTGGAGCAAACAACCTAAATACTCCACTTTCAGTCAGCTCTTGGTTACAAAGCATAAAACTAAGGGTTAAAACTAATAGAGCAAATAAAAACAAGACTTTGAAGGTTCAAGAGACAAACGCAAATTATTTTGAAAATGAAAAACTCACCCTCATAATATCAGGATCGATGTAATCGGCGATGTTGTGTCCCTCCCACATCTCAGGAATCTTATCCTGCTTCTCATCCTCGTTCATCAGATCCCAGTATTCTTAAAAATAAATTAACGTGACGCTAGTAAGCATT